CTTCTCTCTCCTTGGGAGAGTGCACATGCCTTACAGCAATTTATAAAAACAAAACAAAACAAAAAAAAACAAAACCACACAAACGATATTAAAATAACTTAAGAATTCAACATGTGGGATAAACAGCAGAATGGATATATCTGACCAACTAGCAAATATTCTAATATTTCCTCCAGACTGAGGAAATATTCTAGTGACTGAAACAAAGGACAATGATATAAAAATTTTTTAAAAGCAGCCTAGACAAAGTAGTGTACAGATAGTGCCACCAGAGGAGAGGCTGCAAGTCACACAAGAGGGACATGTTTGGTCCCCAGGCCAGCCTAAATATGCACCGGTAATTCTAGCTAACTGGAGGTGGCGCATGAGGATAGCAACATGGTGAGACCTTGTCAAAAGTACCTTTGTGAGGAAGTGAAAACACCAGCACTGGGAACATGGCTTGGAACAGCCTCACATTTGTCGTCTAGGAATCCGAGACGCTGGTTAGACTGCCAGGGCTTTGACAGGAATGTCAGATCTCAAGACAGGACCAGATAGCTAAAAAACTAAGGCGAAGTTTATAAAAGCCACAGAAGCCCATGAAATGTTTGCCTAGTACCTTGAAAAAAACAGTTCTGCCTTGCAGCCCAACACCCAGTGAAAAGCCAGAATCCATGTGCATCCGAGGTGGGCCTAACCCTGCCCCTTTAACCAGAAAAAGCCTCTGCCCCAAGCCCCTCCTTCTAGCCCAACACCCAGCAAAAAGCCAGGTGGGGTGGTCTGTCTTCTTTCTGTCTCTGTCTCTCCCTTTCTCTCGAATTCCTGTCTCTTGTCTCTGACCTCTCCTTTCTCTTGCTAATTTAGGAATTCATGTGCATCTGAGGTTGTCCTACCACACTGTTGCAGCTCTCATTTTTTTTGCCTTTTTGTAAATAAAATTTTTTTTCCCTTTTCATTGTTTTGTCTTTTTTTTTTTTTTTTGTATTTTCCACTTTGTTTCCTTTCTTTTACTACTTCCTCAACTTGCTTCTCACCTTCTACAGACTGAGTGTCTAGGCAGGACTATAGCACAGTAGTGAAACATCTGAGTACTTTAAACCTCCCCAGCTCAGTCCAGGTGCTCCTATCCCCTTAAAACTGTGAGGCCTTTGTAATATCCAGCTCCACTGAAAGAAGTGCAGGTTGCTTGGTGAAGATAACAGAAATGGAAGTGAAGAAAAATTGCAGGTCCTCTCTTTCCACACGCCTCTAACACCCAGAGTTAACTCCAATAAGGTAGGAAGTAATATATAATCCATCAGATGACCATAAACCGCAACCGCAGAGGCACAAGAAGTATGGGAAATTATGAAAATCTCTCTCCCTCAAGGGGGAAGAACAGCCCTTCATCATCCACAGATGATACAATGGAACTCGTGGAAATGGCAGATAAAGAATTTAGGAGATTCATAGTGACAAAGCTAACAGAGATGCAAGAGAAGAGAGATAATGAACTGCAGAAGATGCAGGAGAAAAGAGACAATGATTTCCAGGAGGTGAGGAAGTTCTCCCACGATCTCAAAGAGGTAATTCACACCATAAAAAAAATCAAACGAAACTGTTAGAGATGAATGCTATAATATAGGAACTCAACCTCCCTTGAAAGTATTAAAAGCAGATTAGATCATGCAGAAAACTGAATCTTAGATGTAGAAGATAGAATCTCTGACCTGGAAAAATTCACCAAAAAGACAGAAAATAACCCAAAATAAGAATAATATACAAGTAGTACTAGATAGTACTAGATACCATTAGACACCCAAACATCCAGATAATCGGTATCCTAGAAGGTGAAGAAACTAATCAGGGCATTGATAATCTATTCCATGAAATCCTGGAAGAAAACTTTACAAACCTAGAGAGGCATTCAAAGACCCAGACCCAAAAAATACAAAAAACCCCACCAAGAGTCAACCTAAGAAGATCTTCGCCAAGGCACATCATAGTCAGATTGACCAAAACCATAGACAGAATAAGATAATAAATTTGTCAAGAGAAAAAGTGTCCAGTTACTTTCAAAGGATATACTATCAGGCTAACATCGGACCTCTTGTTGGAAACAATGCAAGCAAGGAAAGAATGGGAAAATATATTCAAAGTGTTAAGTGAAAACAATTTCAACCAAAAATACTGTATCTGGCAAAATTATCCTTCATGTGAGAAGAAAAGATAAAAATATTCTCAGATAAACAAAAACTGAAAGAATTTACCCATACCAGACCAGCACTTCAAGAAGTTTTGAAGGGAGCACTTTAAAACTAAAGAAAAACTGGGACTAGCAGGTGGTGTGGTGGTGGGGACCAGCAGGTGGCGTGGTGGTTAAGGCACTGGACACTCCCACATGGCCAGCCAGGGTTCAAGTCCTGAATCTTGCTTTCTCACTTCTTCTCTCACTCTCACCCTCTGTCTCTCTCTGGTCAAATTTAAAAAAAAAAAAAAGAAAATGAATGAATAAAATAATTATTTTAAATAAATAAATAAATAAAACTAAATAAAAACTAAAGACAGAGAAGAGAACAAAAAATGACCAAGAAAAAGGCGAACTTAATGATAGGGACAAGTTCTGAAATATCAATTATAATGTTGAATGTTAACGGAAAGATCAGACCACAATAACACTGCAAATTCAACCAAAGAGAGATTACACAAGACAACTGGTGGAATAGAATTCTAGTACTTTTTTCTAAAACATTACTGATTTTCTACCATGCTTTGTCTTCCAGATTTAAGGATTTTTGTTTTCTTTTGAGTTGTTGGATTTGGCAATTTGTTAAGAAGAATAATTTTAAAAATTGAAACATACTTTTCTTCCTTCCTGATCCCATTGCAATTGGAAAATATTTGTTAGCATTCTTATTTTGTGACAGAATGGTTATTTGCGTAAGTTCAATAAGATAGAATCTGTTGCCTTGCATCAGAAATTGAATTCTTATGGGGCTTTGTGCAAATAACAGACCAAATTGAGATTAACTTTTTTTTTTTTTTTTGGCAAATAAGTTAGTTTAGACCTCTTTCTAGTAAAAGGGAGAATGGAGAGCGAAATAAAAAAATGTTCCTGAAGAAAATGACAGTGCACTTGTCACTAGACTCTAGCTTTGTCCATACTTTAAGATCTTCTGTGAATCAATAAAATATGGAAAAAAAAAAAAAAGTTTAGTACAGAAGGGGGTGAGGGGATACGGAAAGGAAAAAATGGGTAAAACTATGCTTAATTTACAAAAATAAGTTATTTGCTGATGATAATGTATATAGTAATGTTCTTGGGCTTGACTGACATGCATGGTATTTGTGTTAGAAAAAGAAATGTATACTGTAAAGATGTGATAAAATGTAAATTAAAATTAATTAATTTAAAGTTAATTAATTGTAATAATAAATTGCCAAAATGTTAAAAACAAAACAAAACAAAAAAACAACCTATACGAGATAGGTACCTCTTCAGTTCCCATTCTCTTATAAAGGAAAAAAGCAAATTAGGACAAAATTATTTTTAATCCTTAGAATTAAAAGAAAGCCTTAGAGCACCAGTAGGTAGCATGGTGGTTAAGGCTCTGGATCCCACGTGGCTGACTCCATGTTTTCAGTCCCAGACTCTGTGGCTTGAAAATCACACTGAGTGTGAGTACATGTATACCCCGAATCCCGAGAGAAGGGACTGTAGTATGGCCATCCCTTCTGAGAGATGAGTTCTCCCTTTCCTGTTTTTCTCTGTCTCTCTTTGACAAGCACACACACCATATGGGAAAAATCTAGAAAAGAAAAGAAACCTTAGAATGAAAAGAACAGCCCCAAGATAATGAAATTTAAGAACACCAAAAACATGATATTCTAGGGAACCAGCAGTTAGCGTAATGGCTATGTCATTGGACTCCCACATAGTGGACCACGGTTCACGTCCTGGACCCAGTGGCTTAAAACTCACGCCGGGCGCGTGTGCGTGTGTGCCCAAGATCCCGAGAGGAGAATGGAGGAGAAGGAATTGCGGCGTGACCATCCCCCCTGGGGGGTGATTTCTCGCTTTCTGTCTCTATGTCTCTCTCTGTCTGTCTGGCGAGCGCATGCACCCTATAGCAAAAACCTCTCCAAAAAAAAACAAAAAAACAAAACAAAACACAATATTCTAAATGTTTATAGTGAGACAAACTAGATCACATATAGAAAAACAATCAGAGGCCCAGTGGTTCTGGTGGTAGTGTCTTGATTTGCACTGCTGGAAGCCAACCTGAAATATACCAGGAGCATGCACATCTAAGACCCTGCCTAGCTGAGGAAGGGGACCATCGTGAGATGACACCTCATCAAGGGTGTCTGCCTTTGTTTCATACTCTCTTTCTCTCAAGAAAGATAGAAATAAACTCAAAAAACATAAAAGACATCAAAAATTTCCCAAAACAGGGACCAGCAGTTAGCATAATGGCTATGGTGCTGGACTTCCATGTAGCTGACCGCGATTCGAGCCCCAGACCCCGTGGCTTAAACTCAAACCCCGTGTGTGTGCATGTGTGCCCAAGATCCCAAGAGGAGAATGGAAGAGACAGGATTGTGGTGTGGCCATCCCTTGGGGGGCGGGGGTGGGGATTGATTTCTTGCTTTCTCTCTCTGTCTCTGTCTTTCTGGCAAGCGCAAGTGCCCTCTAGCAAAAACCTCTCAAAAAAAATTTTTTTTCCCCAAAACACTAAATGCAAAAGAATACAAAGGAGTAGTGTTTTTAGAGTAGCTAAGGAAAGTAATTTAGAACCAAGAATATTATATTCAGCTAAATGGTTAAATTCAAGGATATAATCCCAATAGTCAAAAGTGTAGAAGCTTTGTAACATAAAGAGCCAGACCGAGGTGTTTGATGAAGTACTTAAAAAAAGAGAAGCGATCTAGAGGATTTTTAAAGAAAATATATGAAGTAATCTTAGTAAGGTTTGTTACAGTATTAAAAAGAGAGAGAGACAAACATACATAAGGCAGAAATGAGGAAATATTATCTGTCTGAAGCCAAAATCAAGTCTTTATGTATTATAAATATGAAGGAGAATGGCGAAATAGAAGAGTGAGAGAGCATACCAGAGTTCTAATTTTTTTTTTTAAGAGACATTTTTGCTATAGGGCTTGTGTAGTTGCCGGAGAGACAGAGAGAGACAGAAAGTAAGAAATCAGCCCCCCAGGGGGGATGACCACACCACAATCCCTTCTCCTCCATTTTCTTTTCAGGATTTTGGGCATGCACACACACGCGCCTAGCATGAGTTTTAAGCTGCTGAGTCTGGGAATCAAACTGCGGTCGACTATGTGGGAGTCAATGATGTAACCATTACACTATCTGCTGGTCCCCAAAAGTTCTAATATTAAAAGTGGCGAGTTAGGGGGACCAGCAGGAGGTGTGGTGATTAAGGCACTGTGGACTCCCACATGAACAACTGTGGTTCAAATCCTGGACCTGGCAGCTTGTTTTCTCACTTTCTCTCATTCTCTGTCTCTCTCTAGTGAGCATACATGCCCTATAGCATATTAAAATACTACTACTAAATAAAATTAAAATTATTCTTTTTAAAAAGCAGGAGTTATAAATACTTTTACTTAAGTTAGAAAAGGTTTAAAACATCAAAGAGTAGAACAAAATAATTTAAAGAAGTAAAAACAGTATTGTTCCAAATACATAGATAATTAGAATAAATGTTAATGTACTAAATTCAACAGCTGAAATCCAAAGACTGGGTTTTAGAAGATTTAGAAGGCCGAACCACAGTGGCAAAGGCAGTAGAGTATCACTGTAAGAGCTGAGGCCACATAAGAAGTCCAGGTTTGGATCCTGTACCGACCTAAGCAGACCAGGCACAGTAGCGCATGCCTGTAACACTAGCTCATTGGGAGGCTGGGGCAGGGGACAGGGACAGTGAGACCCTGTCAAAAATATCCCCTACACACAAAAAAAAACAAAAAAAGATAAATATTAAGGCTCAAGAATGCACAAAAGTCAGAAGTAAAAGAAAGTAAAAACTTAAAAAAAAAATCTAGGGACTAGCAGTTGGCATAATGGCTCTGTTGCTGAACTCCCATGTAGCCAACCGTGGTTTAAGTCCCGGACCCGGTGGCTTAAACTCACACTGGGCGCGGGGGCGTGTGCGCCCAAAACCCAAGAGGAGAATGGAGAAGGGATTGCAGCATGGCCATCCCCCCTGGGGGTGATTTCTCGCTTTCCGTCTCTCTGTCTTTGTCTTCCTGGCGAGCACACGCACCATATAGCAAAAATCTCTCCAAAAAAAAAAAAAAAAAAAAAACTCTAGCAAATGCTAGCAAAAAAAGCTAGTGACATAGAATCAGATACAATAGATTTTAAGACAAAAAAAGCATTTTTAGGAATGGAGGGGATTACCATAAAATATTCAATCTGCAAGACAGAGCAATTTTAAAGATGATGTTCTTAATAAAATTGTCTCTAAATATATCCAGCACAAATTGATAGAAGTACTAGAAAAAATCAAATAATTACTGATTCCATATGGATCCAATATTCAGAGATCCCCCATAAGTCAGGCCACAAAGCCTAAAATTTTTAAAAATAAATATCATCATACAATGATCTTAGGTCACAATGCAGTTGAGACAGAAGGCTAACACAAACATATAAATGAAAATGCCATACACTGGATATACAGAAGCATATGGCTGACGAGATGGTACAGCAGAAACTCAATGCTCCAAGAAACTGAGGCCACCGAGGAAGGTCCTGCATGATCCTGGCTAACTGAGTCTGGGGATGGATTGTGGCATGAGGACCCTGGGGGGGTGGGGAAGGGGGCTGTCAGTCTGTCTCTCTCTCTCTCTCTCGTGGAAGAAACAATTAGATAAATCTAAAACAAAGATACTGTTAATCAAATGATTAGAGAAAAAATTATCATGGAAATGTAAAAATATCTAAAACATGATAATAAAAATAAGAATAAAAATACTACGTGGCAGGACCAGCACGTGGTATAGTGGTTCAAGTGCTGGACTCCCCCATGGCCAACCATGGTTCAAGTCCCAAATCCAGCAACTTAAAACTCATGCTAGGCCTGTGTGCGTGCATGACCAAAATCGCAGAAGAATGAAGGAAAAGGGATTGCAGCATGGCCATCCCCTCTGAGGGGTGATTTCTCACTTTCCCTCACCATCTGTCTCTTTAGTGAGTGCATGCACCCTACAGCAAAAATCTTAAAAAACAAAACAAAACAAAACACTACATGTCAAAAACTGAGGGGGCCAGCTCTCTAGCTCAGTAGTTAAGGAAGTGAGATCCCACATGGCTGACAGTGGTTCAAATCCCAATTCTAGCAGCTTGAACAACATGATGGGTACGTATCTGTGCGTGCCCAAAATGTGATGGGATGGAGAAATGGAGGAAAACAGATTGCAGAGTGATCGTGCCCCATTGGGGAGTGCTCTCTTTCTCCCTTTTAGTGAGTACGCCTGCTCTCTAGCAATTAAGAAAAATAACAAGGGTGGGCTAAAGTGGCTCATTAGGGACATTCATTAGGGACATATATTACGACACTATTGAAAGACTTACTTATACTCTAGGAAGATTTTCTCAAATGCAGACAAAACAATATCCAACTCCATGATGTCACCGGTTTTCTTTCCTTCTAGACACCAAATATGCATACTGCTGGAAAGATCTGGAATATAAAGAGAAGTCAGTTTAATATACTGATTATTCACAATTGGCTCTAGATGAAAAATTCTGAAAGCCTAAAACAAAAATAGTTCCACCAAACTGCTAAAGATGGCTACAGTTGAAGAATCACACAGGAAGGGACCGGCAGTTAGCATAATGGCTATGTCGCTGGACTCCCATGTAGTCGACTGTGGTTTTTGTGCCCGGCCCCGGGGGCTTAAATCAATCTCCGGACGGCACGTGTGCGTGTGTGCCCAAGATCCCAAGGGGATAATAGGGGAGAAGGGATTGTGGCGTGGTCATCTCCCCTGCGGGGTGATTTCTCGCTTTCCATCTCTCTGTCTCTCTCTGACTTTCTGGCGAGCGCACATGTACTATAGCAAAAACCTCTCCAAAAAAAAAAAAAAAGAAAAAGTATAAATTACTATAAATGTAATAAATACCCACATTTTCTGTATAATGTTAACATGAGCCCATTCTTCTTCCATAATTTAGTCCTTATTTATTTATTTAGTCCTTATTATTCATCCTTTTTTATCTTTTTCCATTATTTAGTCCTTATTTATACGGTCAACTGATGAGCATACTCAGAGTTCATTTCCAGATTCACACTGACCTGAGCTTAGCCCCTGCCTGTGGTGGACTAATGATAGCCATAAGCTACTCG